GGAGACGGCAGAGGGACACGCTGTGGAGTAGTGGAGGGACGCAGTGACATACGGTGTGTGCCAGGGACTGGTGGCGGACGCTCACGCGGAGTACGGCGACTGGTGGAAGTAGTACGAACAGGGGACTTAGGACGGGACACAGGCGACAGAGGGCGAGACTCAAGCTGACGACGCTCTGTGAGACCGCTAGTAGGACCAGTGTAGGGAGAAGGACGAGGAAGTGGCGAGGCAGGCGGTAGCTGTGACAGCGACTGGACCGTCGGTGGACACTCTACAGAGGGAGGGGGACAAGGCGGAGGTGACTGACCAAGAACCTGCTGAAGGAGTGGAACAAAGTACGACCGCGGCCGTGAGGTGCCCCCTGCAGCAGCAGAGACAGCACCAGAACCTCCAGCAGCTCCAGCAGCACCCCCAGCACCTCCAACGCCCGGGTCTGCAGCACCAGCAGCAGCTCCAACGCCCGGGTCCGCAGCACCAGTAGCAGCTCCAACTCCAGGGTCCGCAGCACTAGTAGCAACCCCAACTCTAGGGTCCACAGCACCAGCAGTAGCTCCAACGCCCGGGTCGCAGCACCAGCAGCAGCTCTAACGCCCGGGTCCGCAGCACCAGTAGCAACCCCAACTCCAGGGTCCGCAGCACCAGCAGCAGCTCCAACGCCCGGGTCTGCAGCACCAGCAGCAGCTCCAACTCCAGGGTCCGCAGCACCAGTAGCAGGGTCCGCGACACTAGGAGCGCCACTCATGAGACTGCAGCGTCGTGCGTACCACTCACGAAGACGCTGGGGAGAGGGCAGCTCCCGCCTAGGCGAGGAAGCACGAGCACCAGCTCCAGCAGCACCCCTAGCTCCAGAAGCACCTCTCATGAGGCTGCAGTACTGTAAGTACCACTCACGCAGCTGCTGTGAGGAGAGAGCTCCTTCAGGCGTAGCACTCCCAGGCTCAGCACCCCCAGACTCAGCACCCCCAGACTCAGCACCCCCAGACTCAGCACCCCCAGACTCAGCACAAGCAGGCTCCGTACTCCCAGGCTCAGCACCCCCAGACTCCGCACCCCAAGGCTCAGTACCCCCAGACTCTGCACCCCCAGGCTCAGCACCCCCAGTCTCTGCAACCCCAGGCTCCGCACGCTCAGGCTCAGCACCCCGAGCAGGACGAGAGTCGACAGCTACCTCGACAGGCTCAACCGGGTCTACCTGGGACACACCTGAGGGAGCAGCACCCTGAGGGGGGAGGGGGTCTACTTCAGCAGCACCTGGCGCGAGGAAGAGAGGCGGGGGAGGGAGCGGGGCAGTGCGGTAGGGGAAGAGGCGGTAGAAGGGTACCGACACGTCAAAGGTGACGTCCTGAGAGGCGAGGACACGGCGCGAGGTGGGGTGGTAAAACTGCCAACCAAACGCGTCCGGAACAAAGCCTAGGAAGACACACGGGACAGCGTGGGAGGAGAGCTTGTCCGCGCACGTATCGCGAACAAAAGCTCGGGATCCCTAGACCCGAAAACGCGACGCATCGCCAACCTCTCACGTCCAACGCAGTGTTGGGGAGGTCTCCGGCAAGGAGATACGGGGCCAGAGGTTGAGCTTGTTGGAATCACTGAACATGAATGAATGAACTAGTAGTGAAATGAGTACAAGTACCTAACCCTAGAATTGTGTACCCCCTATAGGCTAACCCACTGTAGCCTAAACTAACACAACATATATAATGTTTGACACACCCCCATAGGCAAAGTGGGGGAGAACTAGGGGTCACAAGACCAGTCAAGGCAAAGCAAGGCAAAACAAGCTCAGGGTGGATCTCAAGGATACCACACAAATTCCGAGCACAAGCAAGTGGTCACAAGACCAGTTCACATGCAGGTTTATAATAGAGCAAAAGGTACAATGATCACAACCTAACAAGAGTAAACATGCAGGTATATATATAGAGATCACAGTACAAACAGACTCAAGAAGTAAGCAAGTGAGGTCCAGTAGGCACAAGGCCTAGAAGAGTGCAAAAGCGCTGATGGTCACAAGGCTGAAGCGCCTTGGTGAACACATCAGCAGTGTTGGCCTCAGAGGCCACGTAACGCAGGCGAAGCTGACCATGCTGCTGCAGCTCTCGAGCAAGGAAGTAACGCAGAGCAATGTGCTTCGTTCTGTGCTCCAGTCTGTGCTCCTCACACAAGGCAATGGCTGCCTTGTTGTCGACGTACAGCACTGGAGGAGAACGAGGCTGCTCTCCAAGGTCGGTCAGCAAGTAGGTGAGCCAGCGTAGCTCCTGGGCCGCCATGGCTGTGGCGTAGATCTCAGCCTCACAACTGGAGCTGAGAACAGAAGAAGAGCGAGTAGAACGCCAAGAAACTGAACCAGAGCCAAGACTGAAGGAGTAACCCTGAGACGACCGCTGAGTAGCCTGGTCGTCTGCCCAAGAAGCGTCTGAGTGCCCAGTGAGAACAACTGGGACTCGCCCTCCAAGCACTAGCCCCATGCCCGACGTACTGCACAAGTAGCGCAACACCCTCTTAGCTGCATCCATGTGCTCCTTCCGGTGACGGCCGGGAGCGACATAGCGTGCAAGAATGCTGAGAGGGTATGCAAGGTCTGGTCGAGTGCAGGTCATCAGGTACATGAGGCAACCCACAAGCTCTGGATACGGGCCACTCGGCTCTACGGACTCATCCGAAGGCAGAGCTGAGAGTGAGTGACCGGTAGGCAGAGGAGTGGGCTGAGGCGAGGAGTACGTGAAGCGGAAGCGCTGAAGGACCTGCTGCACCATGTGTGACTGAGTCAAGGTGATGGTGGGGCGTGCTCTGTCCCGGGTGATCCGCAAGCCAAGATAGCTTGTCAGTTCACCCAGGTCTGTGCACGTGTATCTCTTCTGCAGCTCCGACTTCACGTGGGCGAGTGCCACAGTGTCAGCAGTAGCAAAGACCAAGTCGTTGACGTACACAAGGACGTAGAACGGCGGCAGTGAGGTGTCGGTGCGTAGAAACAGCGACGGGTCAGCAGTAGAAGGCGCGAACCCAAGAGCCGCAAGCGTAGTCCTCAGTGTGTCGTGCCACTCACGAGGCGCCTGGCGGAGACCGTAGACTGGCCGTCGGAGGCTCCACTAGGTACCAGGAGGGAACGACCCAATGAAGCCAGGTGGACGGCGCAGCCAGATCTCCTCGTGCAGGCTGCCCTGTAGGAAAGCAGTGCTGAAGTCAAGCGAGTGGAGCTCGTAGTCACGCTGAGGGGCGACGTGCAGCAGAACCCGAAGAGTGGTCATCTTCGGGGTCGGGGAGAAGGTCTGGAAGAAGTCAACTCCCTCTCGCTGACTGAAGCCTCGTGCAACGTAACGCGCCTTGAAGACAGGCGGAGAGCCCGGCGGCCGCTTCACCCTAAAAATCCACATGCCACTGACGATGTTCGCCCCAGGTGGGGGAACCTCGTCGACGTAGGTGCCTGTGGACTTCCAGGAAGCCATCTCTGTATCCATGGCTGACTGCCACTGAGAGGAGTAGGGACCGGCCATCACCTCTGCGTAAGAGCGTGGGGTCGGGATGTCTGGTGCATCCGGGTCTCCCTCAGGGGCAACAAGCATGGACACGAGATGGGGCAAAGCGGCAGCAAAGCACTCAAACTCCTCCTGCCTGTCCTCAAGGACATCAGTGCCAAGAGCACACCCACCCCCGACGGACGGAGGACAGACAGACTCAGACTCAGCAACTAGGCTAGCAGCGTAGTCTAGACGACAGCGAGCAGCAAAGTCGACAAGCTCAGCAACTAAGGCAGACGCAGCAGCAGACTCAAAGGAAGGGCCAGTGACACCAGTAGCCAGGAGACGCGTGACAGTAGGACTGGTAGCACGAAGAGAGTCTGACCCAGGGTAAGCAAGAGCAGGAAGAGAGGAAGCAGGAGGAGACGGCAGTGGGACACGCTGTGGAGCAGTGGACGGACGAATCGCCATCCAATGAGTGCCTGGGACAGCAGGAAGACGCTGACGCTGGACTCGACTACTAGAAGGAGCAGTGCGTACAGGCGACGGTAACGCCGACTGTAGCTGGACAGGCGGAGGACACGCTAAGGAGGGAGGAGGAAAAGGAGGAGGAAGCTGACCAAGAACCTGCTGAAGGAGCGGAACAAAGTACGGCCGAGACCAAGCAGCGACACCAGAGCCAGCAGGGACATCCGCACCAGGATCCGCAGCACCAGCAGCAACTCCAGCGCCCACGTCCTCTGCACCAGCGGCAGCTCCAACGCCCGCGTCCTCAGGACCAGTAGCAGCTCCAACGCCCGGGTCCGCAGCACCAGCGGCAGCTCCAACGCCTGGGTCCTCAACACCAGCAGCAGCTCCAACGCCCGGGTCCTCAGCACCAGCAGCGGCTCCAACGCCCGGGTCCTCAGCACCAGCAGCAGCTCCAACGCCCGGGTCCTCAGCACCAGCGGCAGCTCCAACGCCTGGGTCCTCATCACCAACAGCAGCTCCAACGCCCGGGTCCTCAGTACCAGCAGCAGCTCCAACGCCCGGGTCTTCAGCACCAGCAGCAGCTCCAACAGCAGCGGGGTCCGTAACACGAGGCACGCCACTCCGAAGAGTGCAGCGCCGCTCGTACAACTCACGGATCCGCTCGCGGGAGGGGAGCTCCCGAACGGGAGAAGAAGCACTAGCACCAGTCCCAGTAGTACGTCCGGCTCGAGCGGTACCTCTCCGGAGGCTGCAGTACTCTAAGTACCCCGCACGCAGGTGCTCCGAGGAGAGGGCTCCTCCAGGTGCAGGACTCCGAGGCCTAGTACCTCTAGACTCAAAACCCCCAGACTCCGGACTCCGCAGCTCAGCACCACGAGGCTCCACACCCCCAAGCTCAGCACCCTCAAGCTCCACACCCCCAGGCTCCACACCCCCAGGCTCCACACCCCCAGGCTCCACACCCCCAGGCTCCACACCCCCAGGCTCAGCACCCCCAGGCTCAGCACCCCCAGCAGGACGAGAGTCGACAGCTACCTCAACAGGCTCAACCGGGTCTACCTGAGACACACCTTAGGGAGCGGCACCCTGAGGGGGGAGGGGGTCTGCAACAGCAGCACCTGGCGCGAGGAAGAGAGGCGGGGGGGGGAGCGGGGCAGTGCGGTAGGGGAAGAGGCGGTAGTAGGGGACGGACTCGTCAAAAGTGACGTCCTGGGAGGGCAAGACTCGGCGCGAGGTGGCGTGGTAAAACTGCCAACCAGACGCGTCCGGGACAAAGCCGAGGAAGACGCAGGGAATAGCACGGGAGGAGAGCTTGTCCGCAGACGAATCGCGGACAAAAGCTCGAGACCCCCAGACCCGGAAACGCGACGCATCGCCAACCTCCCCCGTCCATAGCAGCGTGGGCGAGGTCTCCGGCAAGGAGACACGGGGCCAGAGGTTGAGCTGATGCGCAGCGTACCGGACCGCAAACGACCACAGAAAGTGGGGGGCAGCCGCATGGATCAAGGATGTACGGGCGACCTCCATGACCAGGCCAATGCGGCGCTCCGCAACCCCATTCTGCCGTGGAGAAGCCGGAAGCGTGAACGACTGCTCAATGCCGTGCTCAGCACAATAGGTTGCCAAGAGGTCGGAGGAGAACTCACCACCTCTGTCAGAGTGCAAGTGCAGGACAGGAAAGTCCGAGTGAAAACGCCCGCTGAGCTGGAGACGCGCTCTGCGGATCCAAGGGATCAAGACATCAGGGACCTCACCCTTGGTGCGCAAGGGGAAGACCGAGGTGTAGCGCGAGTAGTCGTCAACAACTATCAGGAAGTACCTCTCCTGACCCTGACCACGGACGCGGGCTGGGCCCCACACGTCCATGTGGAGTGTCTGCAAGGGAGCAGTCGTCGGGAGGAACGAGGAGGAGTGAGGAGCGGCGCGCTGCCGTCCCTTGACACAGGGGAGACAGGTAGGAGCACGCGAGGGTGGGAGGGGAGGAAGGACCCTGGGCAGGCCAGAGACAAGGTACCGGGAGTGCATGGCACGAAGCCGCTGCACAGACGGGTGGCCAAGGCGGTGGTGCCAGAGGACAGTCTCGTGTGCCAAAGAGTGACACGAGCAGGGGGCGGATAGCTGACCTGACGCGGACGCGGACGCAGTCGCAGCAACCTGAGGGGACTCAGTAGTCAGTGTGTACAGGTCCGACCCCGGCTGCCGAGTGAAGGTAGCCAAGTGACGGCCCGTACGAGCACACGTGCAGTGTGTCACGCGCTCGTAGGCAGGGGTGAACTGGTGAACACCCCCGTCCTGGAGTGCACATCCTGCCACCAAGTTCGTAGAGAACGAGGGGAGGTGGAGACCTGACAGTGTGCCCGACGGGACCGCAGGGCAGGGAAGGACAGTGGAAGAGGTCGCAATGACCGGACCCCCAGAGGGGTCAGCAAGGGAGACAGCAACTGGCCGAGCAAGCGGCTCAAGGGCAGTGCAGTCACAAAAGAAGCAGCGAGAAGCACCTGAGTCTAGTGTGAAGGTGTGCAGTGCGGCAGTCGACGCCGTACCAAGGGGGGGAGAAACACGAGCACCTAGAGCAGCACCCTCACCAGCACCTGGGGTAGCCGACACGCGAGTACCTGGAGCGGCAGACGCACTGGCCCTAATGCCCGGGTCGGGCGGCACACACAAGTACTCAGCACCCTCTCCACTAGTAGACATCACATACATGGCAGATAGAATAGCATCAAAGTCTAGAGCATAGATATCAATCCCCTTCTTCAGGAGATCAAGCCAGCGGGGCAGCTCAGTGGCCTGAGGGAACTGAACACGCCAAGCGTCGTCGAGACGAGAGAAGCAGCGCTGTGTGGCGTGCGGTCGTCCACACTGCTGACCAGTGCGGTCACCAGTGCGAATGACGTACGTGCAGCTAAGACCACCCCCCCCCCCCCCCGTGCTGAGAGTACCACTCACGGACCTCCTGGGGCGAGGGAGTGTGATGCTGGCCCTGGCCACCGCCAGTGCCTCCACGGCCACCACCACCGCTGCCACCTCCTCGACCACCCCAACCCCTGCCGCCGCCTCGTCCACCGCCACCCCAACCGCTGCCTCCACTCCTGCCACCTCCCCCGCCGCTGCCGCCACCACCCCCACCGCTACCACTCGCCCCTCCAGCCGAGCCACCACCCCCACTGCCTCCACCGCCCCCACCGCCGCCTCCCCCGCCATCACCGCCACCACCCTTGCCCCCTTTGCCCTTGCCGCTACGGCGTCCGCTCGAGGCAGACGCATCGCCGACCTTCTCAGTACGAAGAAGGTCGACAGCAGCAGTAGAGGCAACAGAGGGAAGAAGGGGGGAAGGAGAACACCCCTCAAAGAACGGGGTACGGGGGTCGCCACGAGAGGCACCTACAGCGACTATGCTAGTCTCAGCTGCAAGTAGCTCCTTCTCGAGGAGGGCAATGGTGAGCTCAGTGGGGCAACGAGCTAGGAAGTGGTCCCTGACAGCACGCAGTGTGTCAGGGAGGCGGGTGACTAGGTGGTAGAGAGTGAGCCAGAGTGGAGGGGGGTGCGTGGCAAGGAACTCAGCAGGCATGGCGGCACGGAAGCGGGCCTCACTAGTACGGAGGTGCGTGATGAGGTCAGCGACTGTGTGAAAGGAGGCCAGGTCGGGAAACAGGTAGGGGAGGGAGAGACGGCCTAGTGCGGCAGAGGCAGGTGAGGAGTAGCGAGCAACTACAGCTGTGTACAGTGCCTGTGCAGTCTTGTGCTGACCAAAGTGCTCGCGTTCGTCTATCGGCAGGGAGTTGCGAATGGCGAAGCGAGTGTGGGCATCACGAGTCTGCCACTGTGAGCGAGCAGTGCTGTCAGCAGTAGCAGCAGGGGCAGTGACATGGCCTAGGGCGTGATCGTACAGTGAGATGTCATCCTTGGCTGTGAGCTGTAGGTAGAGGTGCAGGTCATCGAGCCAGGTGTCAAACTTCACAGGGCGGCCCTCAGCATCGAACACGAGAACCTGTGGGCTAGCCATAGGAACAGTAGAAATAGCAGCAGTAGCAGTAGGAGAAGCAGGTAGGACGAACCAGGTAGGGCAGGGCGGCGCGGCTCGGTTCAGGTCGGGTCGCGGCTCGGCTGGGTGGCGCGGCTCGGTTCAGGGCGCGCGGCTCGGCTCGGGGCGCGCGGCTCGGGTCGCGCGGCTCGGGTCACGGCGGGGACGGGCCGCCCGCTCTCCCTCGTGTGCTGCGGCGGGAACGGGCCGCCCGGGGCCTCTAGGTGGTGGGCACGGGTCGGCGAGGTCGGCACGGGGCCGGTTGGGGCCCTAGAGGGGCGAGCGCGGGGCCGATCGGGGCCTGAGCGGGGCTAGCGCGGGGCCAAACGGGGCCTTGACGGGGCTAGCAAGGGGCCGACGGGGCCTGAACGGGGCTAGCGCGGGGCCGACGGGGCCTGAAACGGGGCCGACGGGGCCTGAGAGGGGCTAGTGCGGGGCCGACGGGGCCTGAAACAGGGCCAACGGGGCCTGAAACGGGGCTAGCGCGGGCCGACGGGGCCTGAGAGGGGCTAGCGCGGGGCCGACGGGGCCTGAAACGGGGCCGACGGGGCCTGAACGGGGCTAGCGCGGGGCCTGAACGGGGTCTTAAAGGGGCCGACGGGGCCTGAACGGGGCCGCTAGGGAGAGCGGGCGTGGGGCCGACGGGGCCTGAACGGGGCTAGCGCGGGGTCGTCAAGAGGGGCCTCTAGGGGCGTGACACGCCGAGGCGCCCTAGGGCACAGGTAGGTAGGTAGGTAGGTAGTTACGTAGTGGTGGGCCCTTAGAAAATTTCGGTCCTAGGAAGGACCTGCTCTATACCATGTTGGAATCACTGAACATGAATGAATGAACTAGCAGTGAAATGAGTACAAGTACCTAACCCTAGAATTGTGTACCCCCTATAGGCTAACCCACTGTAGCCTAAACTAACACAACATATATAATGTTTGACAGAGCTGATGCGCAGCGTATCGGACCGCAAACGGCCACAGAAAGTGGGGGGCAGCCGCATGGATCAAGGAGGTACGAGCGACCTCCATGACCAAGCCAATGCGGCGCTCAGCAACCCCATTCTGTTGTGGAGAGGCCGGAAGCGTGAACGACTGGCGGATGCCGTGCTCCGCACAGTAGGCTGCCAAGAGGTCGGAAGAGAACTCACCACCTCTGTCAGAGTGCAAGCGCAGGACAGGAAAGTCCGAGTGGAAACGCTCGCTGAGCTGAAGACGAGAAGCGCGGATCCAAGGGATCAAAACATCAGGGACCTGACCCTTGGTGCGCAAGGGGAAGACCGTGGTGTAGCGCGAGTAGTCGTCAACAACTATCAGGAAGTACCTTTCCTGACCCTGACCACGGACGCGGGCGGGGCCCCACATGTCCATGTGGAGCGTCTGCAAGGGAGCAGTCGTCGGGGGAAACGAGGAGGAGTGAGGAGCAGCGCGGTGCCGCCCCTCGACACAAGGAAGGCAGGGAGGAGCAGGCGAGGGTGGGAGGGGAGGGAGAACCCTGGGAAGACTAGAGACAAGGTAACGTTTGTACATTGCCCGAAGTCGGTGGTGCCATAGGACTGTCTCGTGCGCCAGAGAGCGGCACGAGCAGGGGGCCGACAGCTGACCTGACGCAGACGCAGACGCATCTACCTGTGGGGACTCAGTAGTCAGTGTGTACAGGTCCGACCCCGGCTGCCGTGTGAAGGTCGCCAGGTGACGGCCCGTCCGAGCACGCGTGCAGTGTGTCACGCGCTCGTAGGCAGGGGTGAAGTGGTGGACACCCCTGTCCTGGAGCGCACTACCCGCGACCAAGTTTGTAGAGAACGAGGGGAGGTAGAGATCGGACAGTGTGCCCGACAGGACGGCCGGACAGGGGAGGACAGTGGAGGAGGTCGCAAGAGGGCGTTTCACTGTTCGATTACGTGTCTGGCACTGCCGTTGCTCCTGCTGCTGATGCTCCTGCTCTCGAACGCTCACAGTGCAAGACGCGCGATGCTGCTGCACGCCTAACTATTAGGAGCCATCTGCCGATTACTGAGCGCGCGCATTTCAGCCAGCACAAAACTGCTAAGACACTGTACGACGCTGTTGTTGCGCGCTACTCCTCCCCGGCCACTGCACCCAGAGGTCGGCTCATGCTACCCTACCTATTCCCCGACCTTTCCTTGTTCATCACTGCTGCGGACCTCATTTCCCACCTGCGCGCTACTAACACTCGCTTTCGTGCCGCCCTTTCAGCCGAGTTCTGCGCTGCAACCCCCCCCCCCCCCCCCCCCCCACCCCCCGATGTACTCCACTCTCTATTTCCGCATCACCCTCCTCCCTGACACTCTTAGCTCTGTCACGGACCACTTCCTAGCGCTAGACCCCACCACTCTTACTGTCGACGACTTTGAGAAGCACCTCCTCGCAGCACAGAAGAACATCCTCGCTGTAGGTGCTGCTCGTGGCACTCCTCGCTCTCCCCTCTTTGAGGGGTGCTCCCCCTCCCCTCTCACCCCCTCCTACGCCTCCGCAGCTGCTGCTCACGACTACCTTGGTTTTGAGGAGGTCGGGGCTGCTTCCGCTCCTAGTGGGAAGCGTTGCAGCGGCAGGGGCGGCAAGGGTGGCAGGGGAGGTGGGGGTGGCGGTGGAGGTGGCGGTGGTGCAGACGGCGGGGGAGGTGGAGGTGGTGGGGTTGGCCGTAGGGGTGGAGGCGGTGGAGGTGGTGGTGGAGGAGATGGAGGCACTGGGAACGGTGGAGGTGGCAGCAGCGGTGGTGGGGGAGGAGGGAGCGGTGGTGGCAGTGGTGGTCAGGGCCAGCAGTAGTCGCAGCAGCAGCAGCAGCAGCGTCAGCGCGAGACCCCCACTTCCCAGCAGCTTCTTGACTGGTATGCCGGGCGTGGGGCTTCTAGGAGTCCTGGTTGTTGCCTCTATATCATTTGCACCCATGGTCGCCAATGCACAGGGTTTCACACTGAGCAGCGCTGCTTCGCTCGGCTTAGCGACGCCTGGCGCGCCAAGTTTCCTGATGCTACTGAGTTCCCCAACTGGGCATACCTGCTTTGGCGTGATGTACCTATCTTTGATCTTGACTATGAGGCAATTCTTGCTGCTATGTATGCATTGACTGTTACTGTTGAGGGTGACTGCTACTTGTGTGTGCCGCCGGATCCTGGTATAGCCCCTGGAATAGCCCCTGCAGCACTAGGTGCTTGTGAGTCTGCTCCCCTTGGTACTGCGCTTGCACACCTTTACACTTGACTCTGGTGCTTCCCGCTGTTTCTTTCGCGATAATACCACAATCACTCCCCTCCCTACACCTGTATTGTCTCACTGGATGACCCCTCTGGGGGCCCAGTGCTTGCACAGTCTTCCACAGTGCTCCCGTGTCCGGCGGTCTCGTCTGGTGAGCTATCTGGTCTCCACCTCCCCTCGTTCTCTACGAACTTGGTGAGTAACAGTGTCCTCCAGGATGCGGGGGTTGACACCTTCACCCCTGGCCGGCGGCGTGTGGCAATTTGCATGTGCTCCCGGACCGGCCGCCACCTGGCCACGTTCACTCGTGTGCCAGGGCCCAGTTTGTACACCCTCACCACTGCGTCGCGCTCCGCCACTTTGTCTCCCCAGTTACACGCGTCTGCTCAGATAGCTAAACAGTGTGAGTGTCGCCGGTTGTCGCACGACACTCTCCTGTGGCACCACCGCCTTGGTCACCCCTCCCTGCCTCGCCTTCGTAGCATGCGCTCTCGCTTCCTGGTCTCTCGTCTTCCCAGGTCTCCGCCTGCCCTCCCTCCCTCGCCTGCGCCGCCCTGCATTCCTTGCGTCGAGGGGCGGCAGCGCGCCGCTCCTCACTCCTCCTCGTTCCCTCCCACAGAGGCACCGCTGCAGACTCTCCACCTGGACGTGTGGGGCCCAGCTCGCGTTCGTGGACAGGGCCACGAGCGGTACTTCCTGCTGGTTGTCGACGACTACACGCGTTACACCACGGTCTTCCCCTTGAGCGCAAGGGGGATGTCCTTGATGTTTTGATCCCCTGGATCCGCGCTGCTCGTATCCAGCTCCGCGAGCGGTTCCAGTCGGACTTTCCTATCCTGCGTCTGCACTCTGACAGAGGTGGTGAGTTCTTCTCAGACCTCTTGGCAGCCTTCTGTGCGGAGCACGGCATCTGCCAGACTTTCACACTTCTGGCCTCTCCGCAGCAGAATGGGGTTGTTGAGCGCCGCATTGGCTTAGTCATGGAGGTCGCTCGTACCTCCATGATCCATGCGGCTGCCCCCCATTTTCTGTGGCCGTTTGCGGTCCGGAACGCCGCGCATCAGCTCAACCTTTGGCCCCGTGTCTCCTTGCCGGAGACCTTGCCCACACTGCTGTGGACGGGGAAGGTTGGCGACGCGTCGCGTTTCCGGGTCTGGGGTGCTCGTGCCTTTGTCCGCGATACCACCGCAGACAAACTCTCCCCTCGCGCCATTCCTTGTGTCTTCCTTGGCTTTGTCCCTAACGTGCCTGGCTGGCAGTTTTACGACCCCGCCTCGCGCTGTGTCTTTGCGTCTCAGGACGTCACCTTTGACGAGTCGGCCCCCTTTTACCGCCTCTTCCCCTACCGCACTGCTCCTCGCCCCCTCCCGCCGCTCTTTCTTGCCCCAGGTCCTCCCCAGGTAGACCCTCTCCCCGCGCCAGATCCTGCTCCTTCAGGTGTTTCTCAGGTAGACCCTCCCGTCCCTGCGCCTTATGAGGTCACTGGTGACTCCGGTCCTGCTGGGAGCGGTGCTGTCCCTGAGGGTGCGGAGCTTGGGGGTGCGCAGCGTGGGGGTGCTGAGTCTGGGGGCGCTGAGCGTGAGGAGCCTGAGGGTGCGGAGCGTGGAGGTGCTGAGCCTGCGCGTGAGGAACCTGGAGGTCCTGAGCCTAGGGGTGCTGCGTCTGGGGGTGCCGAGCCTGCATGTGCGGAGCCTGGGGGTGCTGAGTCTGGGGGTGAGTCGCCTGAGGGTTCTGAGACTGCTATTACGCGGTCTCCTTGGAGTAGCCGTCTTCGTCCGC